GCTTACGCTTCTTTCTTGTGAATCGTCCTTCTTCCTTCTGGGTGATAGCGGGAGAAGGACGGGAGGCGGGAAATCCAGGAGGAGAAGGAATAGGGCAAGCGATTTTATCAAAGCGAACATAATAGGCGGAGAGAAGCGGAAAAGGGAATGTGCAGAAGTAGACGGGAAGGGAGGGAGAGAGAAAGAGGGATCTGGAGAGAACAATGAAAAGGAGGATGGATGAGGTGATGAGAAAGAGTGCCCTTTGCATGGCCTGAACTCTCCGTTCCTTTCATTTCTCCTTCCTTATGAAGATGAATAGGGTAAGAGAAGAGGAAGAAGGCGAAGGGCAAGGAAGTAAGAGAGGCGAGCGAAGGAGGAAGTCTCCTTTCTTCTCCGAACCGTCTTCCCGCATCTTACCGCTTCCTTTCTGTTGTCTGCTCTTCTTTCCTTATGTCTTCGCAGAGCCTTTCATTCTTATCCTTTTCTGTCCTTTGGTCATTCAAAAAGGAAACGAGGAGGAGACGCGAACTGATTCTCCTTGCTCCTTCTTACCACACGCTGCTTCTCTACATCCCCCTGCTTTCTTTATACTCGGTTTGGTGTTCATGTCCTCGGGAGGCTCCCTTAGGGAGGAAGTTGGTGGCCTCCACAAAGTTGTGGAAGTGTCTGAAGGCGCCTACAAGCCTCCTCAAAGCCCTCGCGAAGCCCGGAGTCCTTTGAGATACGGCAACACTGGTACTCTCTCGCTTCCTCTTCTGTGTCCTTCTTCCTAGTCTTCCTCGTTTCTCTTTCTTTCGCACTCGACTTCCCCCACTCTCTGTCTATGACTTTCTCTTATCCACTTTCACCTGTTGCCTCGCTTCAGTCCATGCCCTAGCCTTCACTCCTTTCCAGACCCTTCTGACATGAGTAAGCATCAGAAGAATGAGAGGAGGAGGTGAGAGGGACGAAGAACAGCTCTCTCCGTTACTTTCTCTCATCCGCTTTGACCCCTTCCCTTTCCTAGCTCCATGCATGCCCTGCGCTAAGAGAAAAACAAGAGAGCAAAGAGGAAGAAGAGGAGAATGGGGCTTCCGCCCTTTCAATACGTAGCTTTGGCTTACGCTTCTTTTGGCCACCCCTTGCCCCCTTCTCTTATCTTCCTCTCTCTTCTTCCTCTGCTGGGCTTGAAGCTCTCCCTCGCTCTCTCTGTATCTCTCTTCTTTCTGTCATTTCTCAATCTCGTCCTTTCCCGTCTCCACTTTCCTTCCTGGTTCCCACTTTTCCGCCAGACAAGAAAATCAAAGAAAGGAGAGCGGGCGAGCGGTGGGAGAGGAAGGGCACAAGGTGAGTGAAGAGGAGAACACTTCTTCCTTGTCTCCCTCGACACCTGGTTTATCACCAATGAGACAGTGTGATAGGACAAGAACAAAGAATGAATAGACCTGGAGGTCAAGGCACTGTCGGCTGCTTTATGCATCGCCTCCTCTTTCTGTCTCTCTTTTGATTATCTTTCCCCCTTATTTTCTCTCTTTGTTTCTGTATTTCGTCCCTTATGGCTCCTTTCTCGGATTCTCTCTCCGTCTCTTTTGTCTGTTTTCTTACTCCCTTGTCTTTCTCCTTGTGAGTCTTCCTTCTTCCTTCTGAGTGATAAGGGGAGAAGGACAGGAGGCAGGGAAGGGAGGAGGAGCAAGCGATGGGACAAAGAGAGTGAGAGAAAGTTAAAGATAAGTATCAAAGCAAGCATAATGTAGTAGGCGAGAGAAGTGGAAAAGTAAATGTGCAGAAGTAGAGAGGAAAGGATGGAGGGAGAGAGAGAGAGAGAGAGAGAGAGAGAGAGAGAGAGAGAGAGAGAGAGAGAGAGAGAGAGAGAGCGAGGGGGAGATGGACAACGCAATGAACACGAGGAAGGAGGAGATTATGAGGAACAGTGTCACTTGCTCTCCCTGAGCTCTCCGTTCTTGTCGCTTCTCCTTCTAATTGTGAAGAAAGATAGGAGCTGAGAAAAGAAGGCAAGGCTAAAGAAAGTCAAAGAGCCGAGTGAGGGAGGAATCCACCTTCCTTCTCCCAACCATCTTCCTCCATCTTATGTCTTCGCTTCTGTTTTCGATTCCTTCCAGCAAGAGAGCAAGGAAAGAGGGGACAGAAGAGATGAGAGAGCGAGACACGGCAGAGAGGAAGACAGAGCGAGAAAAAGAGAGAGAGCCTAGAACCATACATGAAGCAGCTTGCATGGCTACCGCAGCACTGCAGAAAATAGCTCGCCAACAGATGTCTCTCGGGGGAACGTGCGTCAGCTATGGACATGTAGAGCCTCATGTAGCCCTCATGCAATGGTTCTCGACGCTGCCAACGGGGGACATAGCTGTGCGGATACAGCTTCCGCCGATTCTGGAGCCGCTTCGCAAGATCCTCAACCAGATCCTGGACGGGAGCACCACAACGGGGGAATGGGCGCAGCTCATTGCCGTTACAGAGGCGTTGGACAAGCTGCTATGCGGGGAAAGCCTCACACACCCTGCGAACGTGCTTGACATGGCAGCGGGGAGCCACGACTCTAACCTCGTGGACCGTCCAGATGGACCAGAAGCATGGGAGATCGCAACGCTCCAACTGCGAGAATGGACCGGGGACCTTGGTGGCTGGCCGGCGGCCCGACTACCCCAGGTACAAGAAGCAGCGATGCAGCTCCTCCGGGGGATTTCACGACGAATCCCGGAAGAAAAGCATGGCCTCCCAAACACAACGGGGGAGTGGTGGCGACTCGACCGGCACCACGGCATGGGCAACATGGCACTGTACCATGGGTTCACTCCGGAAAGCATGAGCAGCCCGAGAGAGCGGGGAATGAGCAGTCCGAGAGGGCGGGGACACGAAGACCACGCAGTTCGTCCTCTGATGCGAGCCACCGTCGTCGCAGAGTCCTAGCAGAGCACATGCACGGCGACATGTGAGGGGGACCTGAAGCTGGCTGTTCTTTATTTGTCGGGGGACTAGGGGGGACGAGGGTGTTATGTATTATTCCATGGGCCCCAGCGTTATATTTGACTGAGAGATCCTCCCTGGTTCATCACGAGTAATCTCGAGTCAAAGTAGCACCACGATACGGATGTGGAGCATCCCAGAAAAAGGAAGCATCAGGCGTAGTGCTTTATTTAATTCTTTACCCTAGTACCACGTACTCTGCAAGCTGTTGTTTTGTCATGTATTCGCCAAGATGATGCCGATGCACCTGTACTGCCTTGCTTACAGTTAACCCAGGGAGCATGCAGTCCTTGACTTGGTCTACCCGTTGCTAGTCAGCGATGGTTCTTGGGTGGTTGATGGACTGTGACCCGTGGGGAAACAGATGTACTTGTAAGCACTGCCTGAAAACAGCGGTCGTAAAGGGAGATGTGATTCTGTCATGCTACACCTTATCTACCTTCCAGCTGTTGGTTACATTCGCGGGGAGCTCCCAAGAGCCGCTTAGGCAGAGCCAAAGTTGAATAGTGCAGTGTAGCCTGAACCGGGGAACCTTGCCCGCACCTTTTACTTACGGTCATAGTTTTTGCAGGCTGTTGCTTCATCTTGCATAAAGGCGGCACTGAACTGTTGCGACCTACGGATAACCCGGGGAATGGAAGAAACTTCATGTGCTTTTATCCTTTTCATACTTTGCTGTTGCTTCACATTCCAACCCGAGGTTAGTGGCGAAACACGCCAAGGACAATACCCCCAACTTGTGGCTCGTGCTCATTTCGTCGTGTTTGGCAGACAAACCGGGGGATTGCCAGTAGCCGTAGTCAAGAACTGACGAGGGTCTGTAGTCCAGATACCTGGAAGATCCAAGTTGTTTCACTAAACTAGCTCTTGTTGTATCGCATAAGGATCTACCAGGGGGACAAACAACCACGAAAACTTTTTCACACTCCTCCAAAGTCCCCACAAAATATGGGGGGGCCCTAGTGGCCGAGGGGTCTTAACAGCCCCTCATGCCCGGCGGAAGAAGAGAGAGAGAGAGAGAGAGAGAGAGGCGGAAGCGAGACAACGCGAGAGGAAATGAAAAAAGGAACCACGTCGAGAGGAACTGACGTCGTCCCTTTGCCCCTCCCTCGTGTTACCCCTGTCATTGAAAGCAGAAGGCGACAAGAAAAGAACCAGAAAAAGGATCAATCAAAGGAAGGGGGAAGGGAGAGACGAGAGAATGAAGAGTTCACTTCGTCCATCTTCATGCCTATTCCTCTGTCATGACTTCAATTTCTGTGTCTTCTTGACAAACGGCAGAGTGGATAGGCAGGAAGAGGAACGGGAATGAGAGAAAGAAACAGGACGAGAGATACACAAGACAGATTGTTGATGGTTCCCGGCGCGAGAGGGACGGGAGGACATTGTGATAGACCCTAAAACCAGCACGGAGAACGTCGCCTGGCATGTCCGAGTTGTGAGAGCGTAAAACCATCTAAATCCTCATAAACTCCAAACCTTAGATCTTCCATAGTATACTGACCCCGGTAAACCATAGTTAGGAGCTAAGACCCTAGACCGTTAAACTCCTGTCGAGACCTTTACACTGTACACGCTTCGGCCTCCCGATGTAACCGTCGTGGCAAACCTTGTCGTCGTCGTGCTGAACCCAGTCGTCGTCGTGCTAAACCGAGTCGTCGTCGTCCTTGTCGCCGTGGTGTTGTTGCAGTTTAAATACAAAACCCAGCAGGATTGCCAAATAGACCCTAAAGGTCCATGCCACATATGGGTATATACTTCAAAGCGTTTGCGCTATTGAGGCTGCCAGTCCATGTCAGAGCTAGTCACGTCGTCTTCCTGGTAGCCAAAATCATTGCTGCTGTTGTTGCGTGGCGAGTCCGCCGACATGATTCACTACTCACTCCAAAGTATTCGATCCCCAATGTGCGTGACGTTGCCCATAGCTACGGGCTGCGTGCAGTGCGACTGAGATTCGGAAGACCAAGCATCCGAAGCTGCTCCCAGGCCCCCAGGCCCCCAAGTAGTGTACTCGTAACTGCTTCTCTTGGCCATATCTGTGGCAGCACCTGGAGGGGCGACCCGGCAGAAGCGATCTGCTTTGGCCTTTCGGCGCGGGGAGCCCCGGATCGAAGCAGGAGCCCGAAGAAAAGCCTCCAGATGACGAGCCTGTATACTGTGGTGTGGCGATGCAGAGGCCTCAAGGCTGTGGGAAGACCACCATGGTCACGCTGCTTGAAGAGCTGTTCCGTTCGGACGGCCTCAGCTGCGAGGCCTGTCTATATATTCCAAAGGTTAAGCTTGAGCGCAGCTCGCAGCTCAGGCTGCATGATGAAATATCCTTGAAGCCAGAACATGAGCCTTTTGCTCCGTCGAAAAGACCGGCGCCTGCTTTCGCAGTCGCTTTCGATCGACGACTTCTACCTCCCTGCCAGTTGGCAGGAGGCAAGTCTAAGTGTTCTTTAAAGCCGCGTCTACTCGTTGCTTGTTGGCGTAGCTACAGGCGGTGTCGGAGCTCCACTCGGGGAATCCTCTGCTGCAGTCAACGACTGAGTTTCGCGGCGGCGCAACTTTGGGAGCAGCCTGTGGAGTTCAGCCGATTTTCCCAAGGACTCGGGGGAATGCGGGGACTCACGACGTGCAACTGGGCACCCGAACCCTGAAGGCCAGCAGACCCCATGGGCAGAGCAGTGCAGCTGTGATACTTGTAACATCTTGTAAATCTTGTAACCTCTGAGCTTCGGCCTCTGCTTTCTGCTCCCCTTTGGTGCTCCCCTTTGGTGCTCCCCTTTGGCTCTCCTTTGGCTCTCCTCTCCTCCGCCTCTGCTCCTCAGGCGCTCAAGAAGAGGAGCCGCCGCCGCCAAGGCACCGAGGCCGAGGCGGCGCGGAGCTCGGCCGCGACCCCAAAGCCGTTGCTCCGACCCCTTCGCCCTTCGCAGCTCCCCAAAGCGGCTGGTGATGAAGCCGGGCTCTGAAGGTCCCCCCAAAAGGCCCTCATATAAGGACTGATCCCACCGTTTAAGGCCTCCAAGATGTTTCAATCATCCGATTCTTCGAACCAACTACGGCTGCCTAGGGACGACCCCGTGGAATGCTTTCACACCCACTCGAGGTCTTCTTGCCCCGGTATGACAAATCCGCAGATTCTGGCCGTGGTGATCAGGCGGACAGTGTTGGCTCATGAGGATCTCATGAGGGCTCTGAGACTCTGCGCTACAAGGCTAAGTTAGGCCTATCATGGCAGATCTTTGTGCGGCATGGCGAGGCCTCTCCATTTCATGCAGCCACCCGTCAGAGAGTCATACTGCCGAGTCTGAGTCACTGTCTACGGTGCGTTGCAGCGTACTGGGCAGGTTCCGCAAGCGATGTGGAAGCCTGCAAAGACACCTTGCGACGTGCTGCTCCTGGAGGGCTGGTGCTGAACTAAGGACCTTTGCTAAGGCTTCACAGGAGGTGATACTGTAGCGTTGGAGTCCAAGGATGCTGGGTTTCAAGCCGACGTCAGACCCCGAGGCGTGTCCCTCGAGCCAGTCTTCTTCAGCGCGAGGTGGTGGCATAAGCGTCATGATGTCTCGTCTTTGAAGCCGTGCATAAATCAAGCTCCTGGTCCTCCCAACGCGCCTTTGTCGGACGTATCCATGCCGCGGCCGAAAGAGAATGCGCCGGCGCCAGTGCAGTTCAATGTGAGCGAGTTGCAGATCGGACGTCGCAAGTGGCGCTCGGGTGCTTCTGGGCCGGCGGTGCAGATCGAAGCGGATCCGCTCTTGGGCACTCGGCCACAGAAAGTTCCGCGCAATGAGACTTTTCTGTGTGGGAAGATCATGTTTGGCAACAAGCGCTTTGCCTTCGAAGTGCTGGAGATCGATCGTTCTCCTCAAAACGTCGCCAAGATCTTGAGGAAACAAAGGATTGCAAGGGGGGACAGGGAGGACTTCGCCCCGACATTCTGGATCGTGTCCTTGGCCAGATTG